TACCAGCTTAAATTCATGTACCGTGCTATCTCGCTTAAAAACATGAAGCCATGAATTCCGGAACTGCACAACTCCACTTTTTCGTACTATATGAGACCATCTAATGGCATTTAGAACAGCGTAAAAATTTAACTCTTTACATGCTTCTTAAAAACAATGACATTGGAAACAACACAAGTCCAGTGACGTGTTCGGTTTTGGAACTTATTGACAAAAAATCATAAAATCATTTGTTGCATGACTAACCTACCGATACCTTAGATATTGTATCGCCCCGCGACAAACACGACAAATCATCCTGCGAGAAACATCCTGACTCATAGATTCCAAATTCCTAACCAGCTAGCTTCCCGTACCCGATTACTCATCTTGCCCCTTTTGCACTCTACCCTTATGCCGACCATTTCCAGTAGTATATATATTACCATTTTTAACCAGCGAGACAGTTCTCTGTAGTTCGTACTTGCGTGCGGAACTTACCGCTTACGAATAAAAACCTTCGAGCCTCTCTAACAAGTTGCGTTTAAATTCCTCAATCCGGAATCCAACACATTGAATATAAACAAAATATTAGGAATGTAAGCATGACAGTAAGTAAATTAATTAGACAGTCGTTTCAATTTGAAGGAAGAGCTACTAATTTTAATATTCACGGAATGAAATCAGCTTACAATAGCGAAATTACCCTAAAACCTGAAAAATGTCAAAATATAAAAAAGTATTTGTCATCAATAAACCTGAATCATCGTTCATGCTTTGAGAATTTATTATAAAAATGAAAATCTATGCGGAAAACTAAAAATTATGATTCCCATTGCCAGATGCGGAATAGCGAATAAACATTTCTATTTATGAAATGCAATTTGTTCATTGTAATCGAAATTTTTCCTAAATTCGTTAGCAACATGTATAATACAATAGTTTCTTCAATCCTTTCCAAAACAGCACAAGTCCACGATGTTTCAAGGCTTTTTACACAAAAGCCAGTTATCTAATATCATTAAAAATATGTACACAATGGAAGTATACTTGTAATCAATATGCACAGCAAAAATAACCAAGATTGATATTAAATTAAAAAAAATATAGAAGTATGGTGAAGGTAAAAATGCAGCAAAGAAGCAGTACGTGGAAAATGTTTTATTTGCTAGTTGCGCGACGTTTAGATTTACACCGAGTCGTCCAGCGTGGACCCGTCCTTTTACGCGCTTTTTGGGTTCTACGCTAGAGACATTTGACGATCGATGAACGGTCGATTTTCATCGTGGGCTGCGTGGCCAGCCACGAATGTAGCGCCACAGAAGAAAGGTTGATTTTCTCGGAATTACAGTTACTGGACTTGTACTGTTTTGGAATTCATGGTTTCGTATACAATGCGTTACCGATATGGTCCCAGCCGGCGGTTCAAAAGTGCAGAAGGGCAAGGGGATTCGGCCACACGCCTATCTCAGCTCGCGGCTCAGTCAGTAACAAAGACGTGCCGAAACTAATTCCGCCATTACTATCAGACCGAGCGACGCGAGTGGACGTCTCACTGTATTTTTACTCATTTCTTAGATGCATTTAAACTCTGTTGGTCACTCTAGACCGTTCAAGGTAAATGCAATTTTTTTTTTAAATAGAACTACGTATTCTCAGTCAAGTCAATTTATTGTATTTTTTAAGGTAAACAACTTGAAACAGCTTACTAAATTTCCCACATCGTACCGAACAACTCTTATCTGAAACATTTTCTCGTATCTCCAATAATTACGGAAATATTCGAGTGTAGAGGAATAAAACGGACATACTATGTACATATATACATCTAACGTATGTATGTATCAGAAGAAATTGTTCAGAATCACGTCCCCGGTAACATATTTCTAGGTCATTGAAATCGGTGAGGAAGCTTCCTTTGTAAATAATTATCGAATAAAATATTGTGATTGTCATAATCCTCATTACAAATGTATCGTATGGAACACATAAGGGGTTAAAAATGTTATATAAATCAGAACTTGGGTGTTCGATCACAGGTCCAGCATTCTTTATGCTTCTAAAGTTTAAACGCACCTTTTTCTAATACAGTGTGTAACAAAAAGATGGATATACTCATATGTTTGATCATAACTCCGAAAATGCTCAATCGATTCGGCTAAAACTGGTTCCCGTAAATTTCATACTAACTGAAAAAATATTAAAGCTCAAGGTCATTTAAAAGTCATATCATACATATACTGAATGTATTTTTGCATAAGCTATACGATGGAATAAAAGTAATACACGGTTCCCACACAAAAAATGTCGAAGATCTAGAAAAAAACATTAAAAATTTTTGTAAAAATAGTTGTTCCATTCAATTCGTCTCTTGAAATAGTTTAAATTACGTCTACCTCAGGAATAATGTCCGTATTATCGTTAATACAGAAAATATTCAAGTGGCTTGGTTTTCGCAAAACACCCTGTATATGAAAAATGGAGCACGCACATAACTGGAACCGTCACGAAACAAGTTTGAGATCAAAGTTCAATGGTTTAAAGGAAGAATATGGTTTGTGTGATTAGTCTTTTAATAGAAAGACGAGTAGAGGTCATGTAAAGGTCAAATTTTTTTCTTTTTCAATAAAATTATATATTCTTTATTGTATAATAATAATATTATATTAAATTAGTATCAAGTCATTGGTTTAGGAGGTATTTCACTTTGGATTATTCAAAGTGACACAATTGAATCACTACCCACTACGAATGAACTCTGCATAGAAGCACGTAGTGAATTATTCGATTTTTTCTTATAATGTGAGTTTTGGAAAATTTCAATATCTTCAAATTATTAAATGAGTTACCGCAGTCGACCAATTCTGCTGCCTTAAATAATTGAAGGTAAAACATCTCGTAAATCAGTGATTTTTTTAATACGGATAAGTCAATACTTGTTTATAGAACATTACAAGATCAACCGAATTGTACAATAAAAACTATACGATTCCATTTAAAAATACAAACTTGACCTTCAAATGACTTTTACGTGTTCTCCTACTAAAAGATTAATTACACTAAATCATGTCCCACATTTAACTAATAAAGTTTTTTCCGCAACATTTTTCACTGTAATAATTATGTACTTATGCAATAATTGAAGTAATTCCAGTTGCATGTCCCACCCTGTACATATGTATATATCAGCAACGGAAAATGTTATTATTAAGTATGTTCAAAACATTGAATTACTATACAGTGAAAATTAACTGTATAATGTATGTACATAATACGACAACGAAATAAAATATTTTTTAATTTTCTGAATCGATCACATAACGATAGGAGAAATTCTGGGTGAAACTATCTGCAATTATTATCTTGTGAACTACAAATTATGCATTATCAAAATGTATAAGTGAGTTTATTACTAAATGAATGAACTGTCTGAAGAAATCTCCTTCAGTGTTTCCTGTTAACTAAAAGTGCGTTTTGCTAACGTGATTGAAAAACTTAAATTTTATTCAAAAAGATATTGCGATTTCATAAACTCTCTATTTCTTAGGCACAATCGAAAGTGTTAAATTGTAAAATGAAAAAGTTTTATACCTGTAGTGGATGACTACTTTGTGAAAATTGAAGCAAAATCTCGTGCTTTATGTAATTTTCACGCGGAATTACATATTTTCACATGAATTTAGATCAGAGAACAAGACGGTGAATACAGTGAGAACAAAAACGCAAATTTTACGACTGTTAAACATTTAAATCCAATTCAATTATCATAAAATTTGGTGAAGCTGTCGATGTACTGCGCCCGTACTGATTTTGATGGTTTTGAAATATGTTATTGGGGGCATGATTTTGAACAACTTTTACCTACACATGTTAATGATGATTGGCTTTAGTTTCTGGGATAATTGCGAAAAATTTTTACTACCACCACATTCTATGTGGAATTCTATATTTACAAGCCCGTACATGGGAAAGCCACAGGCCGCACGTTCATCAGTTCGATGGCAGCTTAGATCAATCAGCTTTCAATTTTTTCGAGTTCCAGGTATGTACTGGTATTTACTCTCCTCGACAAAAGTTCCATCAGCTCCAGTCACAATGAGCGATGGTAATTTCGGACACTGTTGCGTACAATATACAGAAATATGTTTCATTTTGATAATAGGGATTGGTATTAGCGGGGCTAGTTTTTTCTAATTGTAAATAAGAGTGCAAGGGAGTTTGAGATTTTCGTAAGTTATCTTTCCTAATTTAGATCTCTATTATATGAGTAAAACTCGTTTCCATACAGCAATGCCCGCAGCTAGTTTTTCATGTATCGACACCCTCTGATTTCAATGTCTTTTTAATAATGTTGTCAGGAGCATGGTTTTGGACAAATTTTACTTTACACGTGATCTACGGAAAGCTCTAATTTTCGAAATAATCGCGAAAAACCTCCGTTACGGCACACTGAATTGTACATCCATGAGCATAACTGTGAGACTGCCACATGCATATTCGTAGCACCGACCATAGGTTTAAAAGTGCACAGGGCAAGGAAACTCTTCCACTCGCGATGTTCGAGCCGCCTCAATCTTCCATGCATCGTCGTTATTGACGCGCGGCAATAACAAAGGAAAGAAACGAGACCGAATGCGACGAAGTGAGATGGAATTGTAAAGCAAATTGTTTCGGGCACAAGGTATAGGACACTCAAATTGAAAAGATCTTCGAGACCCAGATCGTGCCGAGCTCTTGGGACTGTTGTACTCATCACACACTCGCACACTCCTAAGAAAGAATCCGCGACTTTCCGAAATTCTACTACTACCACTGCGGTTCTAGAAAAGCCGCAGGCGATAGATAAGATCCGGTTGAAAAGTAACTCTACAGTTTTTGAGCGTGTTTAGAGTCGCGTGCTCGCCACTTCGGTGGCGAGGTTACACCGATGAGCCATCGATCTTCACGGATTTCACAAATTCTCCCCGATAAAAGTTCTAATCGTTTCGTACATTTTACATATAGAAATGAGTGTTACTTACGTAATACACATTGTGGAGTGAGGCTAATTTTTTCACGAAGTGCAAGCGGATTGGCAGAGTCCACACTTTCACCTTATAATTCTTGGACTGAATCTTTTGTGGAGGAGAGTATCTACGTAAAATCCAAGAAGATCGAAGGCCGGAGCGATGAATGTACGTACGGCTACGCTTGTAGCTATCTCACAGCATGCTCTTGTATATGCAATTCAATGTAGTGGTAGCGAAAGTTTTTCGCAATCATTTCGGAAAGTGTTGTCTAGATAAGAATCTAGCTATCTAGATAAGGTAAGAAAAAAGCTGCCCAGAATCATGCCTTTAACAACATATTAAAAAGTCATTAAAATCAAACGCTGCTCGTATGTAGGGTAGGGTTTCTCTTCCAAGAATTGACTCCAGCATAATTCTACAGAATGAAAGAATTGACATAACAAACAGAAGCGAGATGGACACGATTCATCAGTGACGTGACGCACTATGGGCTGCTTGCCTTTCAATTGAGGTAAACAACATTTTCTGAATAAAATCGTGTATATGGTTTATTTAATATAATTCAGTGTTGTTTTTGGTATTACTGGGAAGAACAAAGTCTGGTCTTTGATAAAGAACAAAAATTGAGTGCTAGTAACCGCAACTGTGGTAGTTACTGGAATTTCCATTTGATATTTGTAAATAAAAATTGCCGTAGCTGCTTCAGCAGCAGATAGTAGCAGCTAATTTTTATTGTTTATTAGAAATTGGGCATTACCTTTTTCAGTGATGCTGGTCAGAACACTGAACACTACTAAACTAGTTCTTGAAATAATGACTAAAGATCAAAAATGCTAAATAACAGATAATTAAAAAAATATTTATCATATTGACCCATAATACGGTAAAATTCAAATACATACATAGGGTTACTAAGTAAATATACTAAATTGAAAAAA